ATGGTTTACTTGGGGAAAGAGAGCGAGAGAGAGAAAAGCAGGTTCATGAGGGCTATTTGTCAGATGAGCAGCTCTTATCATTTGTGTAATAAATAGTGTAATTACCACGAGTGAAAATAATGTGACGCTAACAGAGACGCTGCATGCAGGACGACGGGAGAGACGAGAATAACGATGAGATGTGCTGGAGAGTGGCACCGTACATACGCCTTTAATTAAATATGAAACAGTCTTTGCATCACATTAGTGATGCTGTGTATGTATATATGTATATATATATATATATATATATACATATATACACTCCAGAAGACAGAGAGAACAAGAGAGAGTGTTTGAATTATAGCAGCAGAGTCTCTTGCTTACTCTTGGAGCCATGGGAGGTACCCAGTGTGAGACCAAACACAGCACAGTAGGTGCTTCATCTGGAGGGTAATTTACATTTATTGAACCTCCCTTGACTTAACGTTACATCCTTACATCACCAGAGCATGTACTGTACAGAGACGAGCCTTCAGCCCAGTGCTCTGAAAAAGAAGCCCTGAAACTCAGAGCTGATGTAACGTACATGAACTCATTAGTGAGAAAACTTTATGAAATACAAATAACCTTCTCTCACATTTGATGCTGCGGTTTGAAGCCATCAGCCACCAAAGGTCATTCTTAGAAACACTAATTTGAGAAAACAAGCACAGCTCAAGGTCCCCTAGCTAGCTTTATTTTTATTTATCTTGTTTTGTTTTTCGGATAATTTAACCACAGAGTAATTAGCAGATGGTGTTTTGCTTTGTTTTTAAGCCAATGCAGATAAAAAGCATCGTAGACTAAATCATAGCAGCTACTGGGCTCACATGATAGTAGATCCATCTCCATGACAACCGAGCGAACTCCATCCACTGATGGAGACGTTGGGATACGGCTGAAGGTTGTGCGAGGCCGGGATCTCCAGCTCCGGTCCTCATGAGCTACCGTCCTGCAGGTTCTAGACGTTACTGCAACACACCTGACTCAGGTTAATGGATCATTGACAGACTTGTGTAGAACTTGGCAACAAGCTGCTGGAGGTCCATTCATGTGAGTCAGGTGTCCTGCAGTAACGTCTAGAACCTGCAGGACGGTAGCTCAGGAGGACCAGAGCTGGACATCCCTGGTGTGACGTATAGGATCGGACCTGATCTGACAAAACAAAGAGAGTTAAAGTCAGGAGCAGAATCCCAACCACAGCGACTGAAGGAGCACGTTATGAAGTCAGCAGATAGCTTGTGGGACCAGTGGTCAGGAGGTCTTTGCTCCTGGCAGAGAAGAAGTTGCAGACGAAGTGATGGAGCTTTAAAGGCTCTGGCAGATTGATTTAGTTGCTGTTTGACAGATCGTGTTGTTCTCAGTCTAAATCCTGTGAATACTTAATGTATAGAAACAAAAGTCACATCGATCCTCTCGTCTAAGTCAAAATCAAACCACATGTAGCTCAAAATCTCTAAATGTTCCTTCATCTGTCTGGATGACTCTGTGTTCAGATCTGAACCAAATGGGGTAGCTAACCGTTAGCTTCCCTCATTCACATCAGGGAGGTGTCGTTTTCTTTTCTTTTCTTTTGCACAATAAAACAAAGCAGCAGAACCAAAACAGCAAAAGCAAACTGTTCAGACGAGATCAGAAACAAACTCGAGAGGCTTAAAGAGGAAGTCTCACCTCAGAGTGAAAACACGAGTCCTGCTTCTACAAGAAGAAGGATGAACGTTTTTAAAAGGTCCCGTTTTTCTGTTTCATTTGATCTGTCGTCCTTCTGTTTGAGTCTGTTTAACTGGAACATATTCAAAAACTACTCACAGATATTTCATCTTTAAAATATTCCATATGTTGAACAATTTCACCGAAACATTCTTCCCTGACGTCCTGCTTCCGTCTCACACGATCCCCAGTTCGGTGGATGTGTTTCTACCATCCTTCTCTTTGGTTGGTTCAAAAAGACTATTAGTCAGAAACAGACCTCATTACCTCGGTTCCTCTACGAGTACTTCAAAAAAGCTTCTCAACAGCCATTAGTGCCTTTTAATTAAGCCAGTTACTACAACAGATGCTCAGTAGGTCATCTTGTGAGCGTCGCTGCTTTTGGGAGTGGATTTTTGAGTGTGTGAGCTCATTTCCTTGGCAAAGATCTTACCTGAGGTGGTGTTGTATCAGAGCGTAGTAGTAAAAGGAGAGCTGAACCACAGTGCACTACTCAGCCCTCATTTACAACCATAATCCAGAAGAATGAGCCCCTAAGCGAGGCTTCTCTGTAGGGCTGACATGGCCTCTTTATGGATGATGCTCCTGAACACATACGTGGTCGTGGTTTCTGTGTGACCCTCTTTGGACTAAAACAAAGTGCTGCTGAGCCACGTTTGTTCCAGCTCAGCTCATCGCATCCACCAGAACGCCAGGAGTCGGCATCTCACCTTCAGCTGCAGGTGGAGAACCAGCAGGGACGGACGCCCTCCGCGGCGCTGAGCTGGACTCGTATTGACTTTTCCCAAAAAACTTACAACTGTGGGTAAATATAGCTGACAGGGCGGCTACGTGTGATCCTGTCGCAGCAACTCAGAGCACAGATATAAAAAAGTTTAAACAGTTCACCTTTACTCAAAGCTCGCGGGCAACAAACAGGCAGAGGAGGAGCAGGAGAGGTCGGCGGACGGGTTTGGTTTGGCAGAAATCACAGAAGTCCAAAAAAACAGGCAGCGCATCAAAACTGGGCAAATGTTTAGACAGGAAGTGGAAAGCTACGGCAAATACGGCGCCGCGATAAACAATCTGGAACAAAGTGAGTGAAACGGGGCCTGTTTAAATACTGAGAGAGCTACTGGGTGAATGAGGAGCAGGTGATTAGATGGGTGTGGGGGTTCAGACGCTGAGAAAAGCCGGAGTCACAGCAGGACAGGTGGCAGCAGAAATGACAGGAGGGTGAGTGAAGGAAGGAATGAGCAGGACTGTGGCAGAAACAAGAATCTGGTTTGATGTTGGTGGTTCTGTATCACTGAGGTTGGGTCGGTAGCCTGTTTAGATCCAGTCTTGGAGCTGATACGCCATCTGGATAATAGCATCTGATATGTACGTCCATACCTGGTATTAGTACGAGTTCTACTTATTTAAATTCCACTCACACTGATTAGATCTGATTATGCAAATGAGGGAGGCAGGGCACGCTGGCAGGTCCCGTGTTTGCAGAGGAGACGCTGCAGTATGGACGCATGTGGGCGGCTCTGTTTGTTTGTTTGTTTTTGCAAGACATCTTGAAATAACAGGAAGAATTATCTCAAGACTTTTGGTGTTTTTATCTGTACAGAGGGCCAAACCTTCACATCCTGCTGAGGTGGAATCACAGCGTGAGCAGAACCATCTCATTCTGATGTGTTCTACTTGTTGAGTTTACATCTGTTGCTCCTCATCCAGGAAGAGAAATGTTCAGACATAAACACGTTAACGCCAAGTTTTCATTAGTCCAAAGTATGGTTTTGTTTTCTGCTCACAGCTGAACGGTTTCAGAGGCCGGCCCGCTGGCAGACAGCAGTGGGAAGATTTAACTGGGTTGTTTTTTTATAATGGAGGTCTGTGAGTTTCTTTCAAAGTGACGTGTATATGAAGCAGCTGCCGTTATTTGTTTAACATGAAACCAACAGGATGCACTGTTTTAATAATTAAAATTACAATCCACTGCAAACAATACGTTCAGTCCTGTCCTCATAGCGTGTCCTCATAGCGTGTCCTCATAGCGTGTCCTCATAGCGTGTCCTCACGTCGGCCTTTATGTCGTGGATCTCATCACGGCCACGTCTGCAACAAGAAAGCCGTCGTACAGAGAAGTAATCACTCAACATGAAGTAGAGAAATAACACATATTTTTACATATGCTATTGTCATTATGAGCTGCACGGTGTCTCAGTGGTTAGCACCGTTAGCGCCTCACAGCTAGAAGGTCTCTGGTTGGCGTCCCGGTGAGGACACCCGGGATCTTCCTGCGTGGAGTCTCCATGTTCTCCCCGTGCAGCGTGGGTTCTCTCCGGGTTCTCCGGCTTCCTCCCACAGTCCAGAAACATGCTGAGGTTAATTGGTGATTGTAAATTGTCCGTAGGTGTGAATGTGAGTGTGCTTGGTTGTCTGTCTCTAAGTGTAGCCCTGTGATAGACTGGTTACCTGTCCAGGTGAACCTGCCTTCACCCTGAGTCAGCTGGGATAGGCTCCGCCCCCCATGACCCTGGTGAGGACTAAGGTGTAGAGATGATGGATGGATGTTGTCATTACCAATCATGACTTGTTGATTGACAGAGTTAGAGGGTTATCTGGACGTTATCTGGACGTTATCTGGACGTTACATGCACTAGCTGATCATATCGTGTCAGATTTCTGGGGGCTTCAGGCCTGAATCTCAGAGCCGTCCCGCTGATAGCAGCCAACCAGGTCAAAACCGTTAAACTTGTCCACACATGAGGTCTGGTGGTTCTGAAAGGTCTGAAAGGAGCCGCTCTTCTTTCTTTGTTTCTTCCAGCTGATGAGTGTTTCAGCTCCTTTAGTTATTTGAACAGTGGCAGCTCTCGGTTTTGTGTTGCTCCAAATTAGCATTGAAAGCAGCAGTAAGACGGAGGCCACTTATCTCTTTAGCTGCACTGAAGCGCTTGTGAAGGCGAGGGCAGCACAGCCAGCGCTCCCTCTGCTGCTGGAGCGAACGGCTCCGAGCAACAAAACTCAACCCTGGGATCTTAATTGCCGCCATAATCAAAAATCTGATAGCCTTTCAAACATTTGGCTTGTGTTTAATTTTGATGAGGCTGGTGTTTAAAAAGAAGCTGACAGTTTGTAATTGGAGGAGCCGAACAAGGTGCGTAATATACCTGAAGGAGGATCGGAGGAAAACATAAGGACAGAGGGAGGGTGAGAATGATGAGGTTGACTTAGCTAATCCACTCCCAGCGTTTGTCGGCCTCGACATGTTCCTAAACGCTGAATGTACACAGGCGGGGATGAGGAGGGAAATCGAGGGATTAAGTGAGATTCAGGAGTCCGATTTTTCAGGTAGAGAAAAAAAAGAGAGAAAATCGGATAACTGTGTTGCAGAGAGGAGGAATGCAGCGCTTTATGAGCTCATTGTTTGCCGGCGTTGTTTAGCCTTTGTGCCGTCGCATTTCGAATTACTCGGCAGACAGCGCGATGAAAGGCATCGTTGAGAGGCAGTAATTGAAAGAAATAGAGATGAGGAATAGAAGGCTGTGGAAGAAGTTTTCATCTGTCAAGACGGGAACAAAGTTGCTCGAAGGATTTACGAGATAGAAGAGAGAGAGCGGAAGCTGGTAATTGCATGGCTCCTGGCCTCCCGATATGATCTCCTCCTGACATGTGCGCGTCTCCCATTGATACATGCAGCCAACATGAGCATGAAGCCTTTATGTCTCTTCCCCTCCTCGCTCCGGTTACATTTCCCTCTCTGTCTTAGCGATGACAGATGCCACATGACAAGGATGAATGGGAAGAGGAAGGCGAGGAGGAGGCGAGGCGCTGCTCCTGATTACACCTGCACGGCTTTATGAAAATGTTGTCACACTTTGTCCTTCAACAGGTTCAGCAGTGAGCCCAGACTTGGACATGACAAGTGGTACATTAGATGCACTGATGCTCTCGTCTCCATGTGTCTCTCTCCCACAGGCTCAGTGTCTCTCAGCGTCTTCCTGGTGTCGGTGGCGTGTGTGGTTTGTGCCGTTTGGCTGGTCGCTCTATGTGGCGTCTGCACCTGGTGTCAACGGAAGCTGGTGAGTTCCTGGACGAGTTCTTCACATTTCATTTGCTTTTTTTAACCCGACGCACTCACGTTCGGCCAACAGGCAGCGTTAAACAGAAACTAGTTTTATTATGTGCAGTGGGAGACTTTAGGTGTTAAAGTTTTGAAATGAAAAACACTTTTTCAGTGACAGAGGTGGCACAAATGTCATCGTAAGAATTGTTAACCAGGTAATTTCTTTTTTTATCAATTATTATTCAAAACAGACTTTTGGTTCTCAAACATTCTCTGAATATTTAGTCGGGGCTAGAATATTCAGAGGAGGTTAATTAAATGTAAAAAAGGTTTTGTTTCGGGAGGGGGGGCGATGGGACCAAACTTCCTATTAAAACAAGTTACCTTGGACCTCGTAGAAGTTTCTCTATTTTCTGATAATCGTGGTGAAATTAATAGTTAGTCGCACCCACCTACCAAAACACGGATCTGTTTAATTGAAACGTGATTAAACGAGACCATAAATCCCTGCCAGCTTTCAGTGCTTCAACGTTTTTGACACTGAGAGACAAAAAGTGTTGGAGATCAATACGCTGAGGGACCAAATCTGTCACGAAAACACATCGTCCTTGGCGGCTTCACACCAAACCGTCTCGCATGTCCGTGTCCGACATGTTTGCGAGCGGCGCTACGTGGCTCTGCAGATAAACTCCAGCTGTGTGGGCAGTCCGCTTCTCTTTCGACGCTAGTGTGACCTTGAGTTGAACGTATACACCAATTACACGCTGTTGTCGAGCGCTGCTTGGCTTTCTCTGCCCCGTGGGCCCGAGCGGGAGGCGGAGAAGGGCTGTATGTTTGGCCATGGCAGCAAACATGACCATAAACCTCAGTGCGCTCTGTAAACATGGCTTTGTGCGCCGTGAGCCTTTGTGCATCACGGCTGTTTGCCTCCAGCCTCCAGCACCATGCTAATGATTCATATGCTAATGAGCATCACTCGGAGCTATTGGCCACTGGAGCAACTGTGATTCCTGCTCCAGCCTATATTTTGATCTGTTGGCATTTCCTACATTCTGCCCCACTTTCCTCCTTCTTGCCTCCCCTTTGTCCTGCTCTTTTGTCTCTCTGTTGGAACAGTGATCGCAGCACAGCGGTTGTTAAACACACAGAGAGTCGACTGGACTCAAATGTTAAGTTAAATGATTTATTTTAATCGGGGAACATTTGCAAATGCTCGCACTTGACCGGTGAACCCGTCACTTATCTCTGTTTACCATCAAGTTATCTGCGTCTCCGTCTTTGTTTCGGTGTCGCCCTCCTCCTTTTATTCTGAGTGCTCTGGTCTGTGTTCGTCCCTTCGTCACTTTATCTGTGTGTCCTTGTCAGGATGTCACTGATGCCTGTTTCCAGGATCGTTCCTCTGCTCTGTTGTTTCTGTTACCAGAAGCTGTAGTTTCTCCTTCGTAGTCCTTGTCTCTGGTTTTTAAATCTTTCACCTCGTTTTCTTTAGCTTGTTTTGCATCTCAAACACCAAAAGGTTGTACAGATAAACACTAAAATAAAATGAAAGAAGATCATATTGTTCAGAGAAAAGCAGGAAGCAGCAAACGTCACAAGATGACGCCAACATAGAAAACAAACTTAAATGATTAAACATTAATCAGAATATATTGTTGAAGGCGTTTGTAGTAATGGACCAATCGATTTATCAATTAACTGCTGTTTGTCGTCGTGGTTACTGAGAGAAAAATTGACTCTAAGCACAAGACGGGATAAATTTACTTGATAACATTTAATCAAAACCAAATCTAACCTTTACTAAAGTGTGTTTGCTGCCTAAATGCTTCAGACAAACATAATCCAGACGGCAATTACGTTTCATACAGAAAGGAATTGGCTGCACGGATTAGTAAAATAAAAACACAGAGTCTAGGAGATGTGCTGGTTGTCAGACTTAGTGTGACTAATTAATTACGCAAGAGGTAAGTCACTTGTTCTTCTGATAAATCACTTCTATACAATAAAGGAAAAGGAGAGTCGGAGGAAAGCGTTTGTTCCAGGAGAGATGAGGCGGTCTGGTCTCGTGCCATTGGCTGTTCTGTGGGAGTGGAGAGGGGAGGAGAGGGAGGAGGAGGGAAACCAGCCTCAGAGGCATCCAGACAGACAGGAAGGTTCTGCTGGTCCACATCCAGGTGTGTGACGACCGTGGTGACAGCAGGACTTAGGAGGAGGCTCCAGAGGGAGGCCGGGCCACGCTGCTCTGAACCGTCCGTCCCTTCACATCCCCGCTTCACCTCATCGTCTGCACAGCTTCATTATTCCAGAGTCTGCCTTCGTACTCGGCCGCTCCTGCCTCTCCCCGTCCTCTCCATCATCCCTTCTGTTTCTCACATCCTCCCACACTCTCTCAACATTGTACCTTCTCCACCCTCTCCTCTCCAGCCTCCTGAAGATTTTATGATTCTGTTTAATGATAGATGAGCTGCACTTGATAGCATATTCTTGACTGTTGGAAATCTATCCCTCTCTGCCTCCCCGGATCTAATATTGTTCTGTCCTGTGTGTGTGCTGCTGTTTACAGCAGAGCGGCTGGATGTAGGTACAGCGCAGGTCAGACCTCAGGCTTCGCTCTCCATTGAAGATGTTTCTGCTGCTGAGCTGAACGTATGAGATGTGGCATCTGAATGAATAATACAGCATATCGGGGATGCATTAGAGATGTGTACAGTAGGATGCATAAAGAGGCCACCTGTCTGCAGGAAATAAGACAAACATTCAGCATCGTGTTGGATCTGGAGCCCTGCAGCCTGCAGGATGGTGTCAGTTATTGACTGCATCTGGGTTTGAAATTCAGTTTCCTCAACCAAAGAGAAAAAAAACCTCTAACAGAATCTGATAAATAAAAAAATAGTCACGTAAAAATAAGCATCAGCAATAAACATTTATTTTTTTCCTATGACAAGAATCAGTTATTAGTTTGTTTTCTAGAAGACAATGTGGAGGAAGAGACAGCGACCGCAAAAATAAAAGCATCAAAAAATAAAAAATAAAACTACCCTCTGCTTTTTGATTTTTTCCTGAAAAGGCAAAAATCTTTTAGACTTCATTGGTTTTAGTTTTACTAAGAAGTGACCTGTTTGTCTGTTTACATCTGAGGAACTCGTCGTGTTCTCTGTCTGCATCTCAGAACATCTGCTCCAAGGTCTTCCAGACAGTTATTAAATATTAAAGAAGGTTGCATGAAAAAACTCCCCTCATAGTTTGTAAAGTTCCTGATTCCATCCAGAGCCTCGAAGACGTTCGACAAAATTTAGAAAGTTTTCATTTTTATAGATTTTTTTTTTTGTGGAATCTTTTCAAAAGTTGTCTTTTGAAAAATCTCATTTTCTCATGATTGGGTTTATTTTCTTAATTTTGTCAGTAAAAAACTACAATATTGTTCAAAAGTCTTTTTTATTAGCAAATCTTTAGCAGCCACTTCTCAGCGACTCTTCTCACTTTGATGAATAATTGAAGGAACACAGTTTCATTCAGCTCATCCTCATGTCAGACTGCCCTCATTCTCAGACTCGTCTCCTCTCAGGTTCGCGCCGCCGCCTCCAACTCGACGGTCTTCAGCGTGAACCCGTTGCTCTGCTGGGGCTTTTAAATTTGCATGTTCTCTTCATACATGTGTGGATCTCTGCAGCTTCCCGTAAAACACTCCAAAGACATGTAGATCAGGTCACCTGGAAACTTAGTGTGAATATAAAACGACACAAACTGGAGGAAAACCCGGAGCAGTGAGAGAATTATGCTGATATGGTGGAAGTAAGTTCTCCTATAAGAAGGTCACTTCTGCTGGTTTCTTCTCTTGAGCTGTTGCACAGGAGTGTTAGTTAGGACACAACGACGCACAACGAAGAGGGAAGTTCTACCTCACAACGATGTTCGATGGTTCTGGTGAAATAAAATGGAACCAGGACACACCGTCATCACCAAACAGCTCCTGCAAGATCCGTCCATCATCTCTACACCTTAATCCTCACTATGGGGGGCGGAGTCTATCCCAGCTGGCTCAGGGTGAAGGCAGGTTCACCTGGACAGGTAACCAGTCTATCACAGGGCTACACTTAGAGACAGACAACCAAGCACACTCACATTCACACCTACGGACAATTTACAATCACCAATTAACCTCAGCATGTTTCTGGACTGTGGGAGGAAGCCGGAGAACCCGGAGAGAACCCACGCTGCACGGGGAGAACATGGAGACTCCACGCAGAAAGATCCCGGGTGTCCTCACCGGGACGTGAACCGGCGACCTTCTAGCTGTGAGGCGCTAACGGTTCTAACCACCTCCTGAAAGATCCACTATGAAAAGCAAGAGAACAGTAGTTGATTAAATAAATTAAAATAAAAGAACTAGTTCTGATTTAGGGCTGCAAGGTGGCGCAGTTGGTAGCACTGTTGCCTCACATCTAGAAGGTCGCCGGTTGGCGTCCCGGTGAGGACACCCGGGATCTTCCTGCGTGGAGTCTCCATGTTCTCCCCGTGCAGCGTGGGTTCTCTCCGGGTTCTCCGGCTTCCTCCCACAGTCCAGAAACATGCTGAGGTTAATTGGTGATTGTAAATTGTCCGTAGGTGTGAATGTGAGTGTGCTTGGTTGTCTGTCTCTAAGTGTAGCCCTGTGATAGACTGGTTACCTGTCCAGGTGAACCTGCCTTCGCCCTGAGTCAGCTGGGATAGACTCCGCCCCCCATGACCCTAATGAAGATTAAGCGGTGTATAGATAATGGATGGATAGTTCTGATTTAACATGAAATTATTCTACATATGTTCAATTTAAAATAACATGAGTGAGTTTTAACTCTGATGATCTGATGCTCTCATTGATAACTGATGCAGGTGATCAGTGTTTAAGTAACGCTTCATCAAAATGTGACACACATGACAAACACTCAGTCAAGTCGATGAGGTAGAGAATTAATTACAGCAACAGATGATAACAGAAGTGAAATCTACACATGTGTTGGTGAAAAAGGAAACTTCCCTTAAATCTACGGTGTGTTTAATTCTATCCAGCCTGTTTCATGAGCGTTTATCGGCGCATGTGCTCTTCATGTCCTTGTCGTGAGCTCATAATGGAAACAAGGTTACGTAAGAGCCGAGGGTCCGTGTGACTCAGCAGGAAAGAGCTCAGTGTTATCACCTTCAAGAGTTCAATAAATACAGAGTTCAATAAAACGCAGAGGTCAATAACTGTAACTACTGTATGCTGCTCTGCTGAAAGCGCCGTCCATTGAGTGGGCAAAATGTGCACAGAGCAAGTAAAGTAGGATCCATAATATCCTGCCAGAGGAATGTATGCAGTTAGCAGCTCAGCACACAAACGATCCTCCTGCAGCTTTGAATCCAGTCTGAGACGAATGCATTCATGTTCCTGATGGGTTTCTGTACAACATCCTACATCAGCTGCATCACTTCTCTTCAGCTAGTTTTAGACGTTTAGAAATCCAGGTTGATTTCACCCACTGATAGCAACACGGCGACGCTAACAGGGATGTATCGTACGTGATCAGGCCGGGTCTCGCTCCAATTAAATCTCCAACGGTAATTGCATTCTTACTTACATTCATTAATTGTGATCGAGAGCAGCAGATTTGCAGCGGAGATTGCTCTGTTAGCATGAAGGAGATGACTTCATTCAGCTTATTTAATGCCATCTTCATTATCAGCAATCTGGTTTGGAAACTTTTTAGAGTGAACATAAGCTGCTCGTGTTCTCCATTCAAGCTGCTGTAGCCCAACGTTGGAGAGCGTTTGTGTGGAGGAGCAGCGCTGCAACTCTGTAGCGCATGCATCGGAGTTTTGCACCACTGAACTTTTAAATGTGCATTTATTTTGTAGTTTGGGCTTCATGCACTGCAGCCAGTGATGCACGATATTAACATGTCTGGCCGATACCAATATCTGATATTAGGATTTCTGATATCGCTTATAACCGATGCTACCGATGTCAGTGTTCAATTTTTGTTCGCATTGAAAAATGAGTACGAGTGGGTTGTCGCTCTAACTCACCTGGTTGAGCTGGTGACCCACGTACAGAGGCTATAGTCTCTGATGCAGCGGCCATGGGTTCAAATCCCCCTCATGGCCCTTTGCTGCAAGTCCTTCCCCCATTCGCCTCCCCCACTTTCCTGTATCTCAAACGTAGAGACGAAGGCGCTGATGTTCCACAATCATCGGCTAAATTAGTTCATCGGACCGATACCGATATCTGGGAAAAAACACTGATATCGGCCGATACCGATGTGGTCGCCGATATGTGGAGCATCCCTACTGCAGCCCTGTTATAACCTCCCTCACTATGTAGCTGTAGATGGACTGACACAGAATGATCACTTTTGTTTTTTCTTCTACGTCACACAAATGCATGAGCACCAGTTTCAGCCCATTGACCTGATATCCAGTAGATCTAAATGTGTCATCACTTCCTGTCTGACTGAAGCTCCTGCCACCTGCGCCCCAACAGCCAACCCTCTTTAGATGTTTTTCTCCTGCCACGATACCACAGTCTGAATCACCTGGACCTGCTTGACTTATTCATACACGCCACACCGTGATTGGGTGTTAATTGCTTAATTGTACCGCGCGGCGCACCTGCGTGGAAGCACCTGCATTGATGTGTTGATGTGTCACCTGTCTCCACGTGTCCCTGCGTCTTCATGGGACCGACTCCATCGCGGCCTGCAGCTGCAGGACATCACTGTGCTGCTGTCACGCATGTGAGAGTGTTTTTGCATCTCATTACAGACAAAGTGGTCCCTTGTCACGTTCTGATCCTCCACCCTGGCAGCGGTCCTGACGTCAAACCGATCCGGTGCTCTTCCCTGGTTTATCATATTTTACGACAAGCGGTGGCACCTGATGCCGTTTTAAAGCCTGTGTTCTTCCACTGATGCTGCTCTAACCACACTATCCAGTAAGATGTCTTTCCTCCCAGTCACCCTTTTGTTTCTGTCTCTCTTGCGTCTTTGCAGGGAAAAAGGAATAAACCAGGGGTGGAGGCGGCCAGCTCTCCAGATTCTGTGAGAGGTCGAGGGGAAAATAAAGCCATCAAGTAGGTGACAGGGAGGGAGTGGATGGAGGCACATGGAAATGATCTGTAATGTGGTTATAGGGGCGCATTTCTGATCGCAGGGCTAATGTGGTAGCTCCCTGCACGCTCTGAAATGTCCAGCCTGAGATGACGCCCTCCACATAGTGTCATATGGACATTTATCAGAGGCTGGACAGTTGTTTGTTCTGTTTGTGTAAATCACAGGTTGGGTTGTGTTCAATGATATTTACCTTTTTTTCTTCTTTTTAAATGACAACTTTGATGTGTTTGGATCATTCAGACAGAAAGAGTTCAAAATATTCACAGCTGTGTCTGTCTTTGCTTTACTTATAATATTTTGGATCCCAGTATTTCTATGGGGATTTCATTTTATTAAAAAAAAAAAGGTGCCCTTGGCATCAAATTACAGATCCAACAGTTTATTTCTATCACTTGTTTGCTTCTCTTTCGTTTCCTGTTTCTCAGATTCGAGCTGTTATGTGACTAAACCTGTTGTGTTTAGTTCACACTGACTTTTCTGTCTCCTCTGGTTTTGTGTTTTTGTTTCCTCGTCCCAGACAGAGAGATAAAAAGCTCCGAGGTCGAATCGTTTGTCTCTGTTCTGAGTGTTTTAACAGCATCAGCACAGACTTAAACCTTTATCATGTGGAGCTGAATGACGTGACGTTAAGCTCACCTGGTTTATGATGAACAACTATTAATGTTAACAGAACTGAAGCCGTAGACTGACACGTTGTTATTATTATTATTATTATTGTTATTATTATTGTTATTATTATTGTTATTATTATTATTATTATTATTATTATTATTACTACATTTTCTCCTGTTTATGACCGCCCTCACCTTTACAGGTATGAGACAGCGTGCTAACTTCCTGCCTTGTGTCTCACCTCTCCCCTCCTCTGTCATGTTTTACTTCCTCTTTACCTGTCTGTGATTGTTTCTCACCTGTCCTACGTCTGTTGTCTCTCTCCGGCTGCAGCGATCTAGACAGAGACTTTTGGAATAACAATGACAGCAGCAATGTGCAACAGAGGTGGAGCTCCTACCCGCCCAAGGAGTTCCTCTTAAACATGTCTCCATACGCTCCCTACGGAGACCCTCGCCTCACGCCCAAGTGAGTCTCAGTCGCGGCTGGTAAGGGACCCGTCCACCTGGGCAGGGCTGTAATGAGCAGGGGCTGGTGTACACCTCCGTGAGACCGCTTCATAGAAATTGGACACGATTAACAGCGTAATGATTTGTTTTCCCAAACTGAATTGGCTATTCCAGGCTAGTGTTTTGCCATTTGTGTGCATAAGTATCTGACAAGTAACACAAAAATGCTCCAAATCGTAGGCAAAGGTTTAATCAATACATCACTCGGAGCAGTGAAAGGTCACATTTAACAGCCTGGAGGGGGGCAGAAAGCCTCGTTTTTAAGGCCACACGCCTTTGAACAGCGGTTTCCTCTCATCCCCGGCAATCCTGGTGTTTTTGCATCGAGGCGTGTCCACAGCGAGCGGGTGTTTAGTATGCACTGCTGGCCACGCAGCACCGGCCCTAAACGTTGCTGCGATTCTTAGGACTGCCCCGACATCGGCACAAATTATTTTATAAGTGATGTCTTCTAGATGAAGCCTGCCAAAAAACCCCAAACCAAATTATTTATTTATCCCATTTGAAACCAGAAAACAGGATTTAAATCATGAATATTTCTGGGGTAAAATTCCACAAATATTCAGAAATAAGAGACTTTTGAGTCCCATCTGGCTCCGGTTAAGTCTCACACACTGTGCAGTAATTTGGGGAAGTGGTGTTTTATTTTTGCTCCGTGCCCAGTGTACAGGGTGTACCAATGAAAATGTTTGACAGCCCCATCGCCTACAGCCCTGCTAGCCTCACCAGACCCTGGTTTCTGTTTTTTTTGCCTCTCACCTGCAGCCCATGGAGTGTTACCATGGAGACGGACAACCCTCAGAGAGCAGATCTCACTGTTTTACATGAACCTTTTCCCTGTTTGTACACGCAGGCCTCTCAGCTCCAAACTATTCACATCTGCTTATGACAGACTTGACATGAATATGCTGAGGAATCAGAGGGTTGACTGTTGTTTACAGTTTGTTTAATCTTTGACTGGGATGCTTTGAAATAATAGTTTGACATTTAGGGAAGTGTGCTTATTTGCTTTCTGGCAGAGAGACGGGACGATCAGCAGCGCTCTCACGCTGTATGTTTCATTAAACATGAAGCTAAAGCCAACAGACGCTTTGAGTCGGCATCCATCAGCGCCTCTAACGCTCTGCAGTTAGCATGCTGTAGCTTAGACTTTATTAATCCATCCATCATCTCTACACCTTAATCCTCACTAGGGTCACGGGGGGCTAGAGTCTATCCCAGCTGACTCAGGGTGAAGGCAGGTTCACCTGGACAGGTAACCAGTCTATCACAGGGCTACACTTAGAGACAGACAACCAAGCACACTCACATTCACACCTACGGACAATTTACAATCACCAATTAACCTCAGCATGTTTTTGGACCGTGTGGGAGGAAGTCGGAGAACCCGGAGAGAACCCACGCTGCACGGGGAGAACATGGAGACTCCACGCAGGAAGATCCCGGGTGTCCTCACCGGGACGCCAACCGGCGACCTTCTAGCTGTGAGGCCACGGTGCTAACCACTGATCCACCTGCAGCCCTCTGTAATAACCCCCAGAGGAAAATTCAGGGTTTTTTGGGTTTTTTTTAGACGTATCTTGTGGGTTTAATTTGCACAAAAAGCAGAAAAACAAGCGTCTAACTGGGAGTTCTGAGTCGGACTGCCCTGTAAAAACACAGTCGATCGCTGTTTTGTTGTGAACAACATAATACAACATGCTAATTAGTAAGTTACCGAGGTGTCGCTGGATGGATGCTGTTACTTCTGAATTCTGTTATGTTCCTCGTCCAAGTGCGAAGTCTCACCAGCAGCTGGCTGTAGCTTCATGTTTACCACACAGCTGTGACGGTGGCATCCATCGCCGCCGTTTAGCTCCTCGCCCAGCAGCAAATAAGCACATCTCTCAAACTGTTCCTTTAACGGGGTGGTTTTTGTTGTACTGTTCTGTTTATTTTGTGTGTGTGTGTGTGTGTGTGTGTGTGTGTGTGTGTGTGTGTGTGTTCAGTCCTGTGTTTTTACTCCTCACCCCCATTCACTCTGTGTGTTCACTACTCCCACTATCGCTCATAGTACTTTAAGTGCTCCACGGCTGCCCGGTAGCCTCCCGGGTCCAGTCTGCAGCGCCCCGATCCAAAAATAGTGACCCTGTGTCCTCGGCGTACAGTAGCAGCAATTAAGTGTTTGGCTGGTGGAAACGTCTGCTTCACATCAACCTCCATCCCGTCGTTTAGATGCATCTCACACAGCCGCTCAGGCATTAGGAAAACCTGTTCCTTCTTATCCGCTCTAATTACAACTCACTTGACTCTTTGGAAAGCGCAGGGTGATCAATTACTCTGTATCTGAGCAGCGACGTTGAAATGATTGTAAATTCAGAGAGTAGCTGTGATTACAGCTTCTGTTGTGATTGCAATCCATTATGTTATTGGCATAATTATTCCGTTTTAAGTGGCTTTAATCGGCTACACTTCCAAATATGTGATCGGTAAGTTGTCTGCTGTCAAATCCACGGTCAAGGAAAGCTCCTTTAGCCAAGTCCAGAGCTTCAGAGGCGATCGGAGGTAGATTAGAGCGACATTTCAAAACAATTAGGCGAAAATAAAAACAATTAAGGACAGACAAGATTGATAAATAGGAAATTCACAGGAGAACGGCAGAATTTCCAAGACGCTCATTAATCCTAATCAGCATCATAATATTATTATTATGAATCCTAATTGCATGGACGCCGTTCAACCAAACAGTAGGCCGGAAAATGTCCCATTATTCAGTGACAAATCCTTCATTTTATTGTCACTTAATGTCTCAATGTTGTGGCGGACGCCCTCCTGTTGTGCTGCTGCCTGTTGTGTGGTTTGTACCGAAGTCAGCGTTCTGTCTGTGCTCGTCTCTGTGACGTCTGAGTCCAGGTCAGTCCGGGTGGGTTGGTGGCATGCCGACAGAAACACCGTCTCCTCGAGCAGGGAGTGTTTGTTCTGTGACATATTCTTTTGCAGACACATTAGGTAGAAGGAGTGCGTGTTGTGAGATTAAAGTGACGTTGGTGTGTATCTGCAGCCTTCACATCTGAAGATGATGCATCATTACTATTATTCCCACTTCAAAGCAGGTTGATCACTGCCGTCTCCCTGTGTGGAGGGAAATGTGCAGACCTGCTGCCTCTCATGGCCCATTTCTCACCTTCAATACGTCCAACAAACCAACTGCAGTGGACTTGCTGCGTACACACACTCCACACTTGAATTTGTGTGAATTAGGCTTTAAAAAGTTTGGATGATTAATTATTTACAGCAAGTAAAATGAGTTTTTGTGCAACTTTGCACCCGACTATTTGCACTATTTGTTTGGTCTGGTGTGAGTGTGTGAAGAGCGAGACGGCTGCTACGAGTGTTAGACAGCAGATCTCAGCTCAGACGTCTTCTCTGCTTGTTTTCTGACCAGCAGCTGCTCCTTTCTGTTCTTCACTGGACGCTTGTGGTTGGACTCAGCGTCCACAGAGTGTCTTACTCACCGGTTTCTCTTCCTTACTGATGACACTTTTGCTCTCCGGCTCTGTGCGTCTGTCTCTCGTCTTTCTCTTTTTTTGTTTTTGTATCCTCTCCTGGTTCCTTCCTCCTGTCTGTCCGTGTTTCTCTGTCTATGATCCACTGTTCCTCCCAGTGGGGCCGTGGCTAAGGGTGGGCAGGGCGGTGCTGGACCCTCACCGGGGGCCAGCGACAGCGGGGTTGGTGCTTGCTCTGACACGGGGGCGGGGCCAAGTCGCAGTGACAGCGTTCGGAGCATGGTGACAGGGGGCAGCAAGGCCGGGCGCTGGCAGACGGTCCAGAGCCACATGCATGCCGGAGGCCTGCGGTTTAGCAAGTGAGTGGCACATGGTGACAAAGGGACACGCATGAGGGGCTACAGTGGGCACAACAACAACAACAGCATGGTGTGGGTATCAAGGAAGTGAGTCTGTAAACGCATCATGAATGGGGCTGTTGCATGTAGACGCAGATGAAGCCATTCTTCACACAGTGCAGATGAAGATAATGTAAAGAAGGTCTGACAGAGAAGCCAGCTGCTTGGAGGATGTACCTGTGATGCATGAGTAGCTGCTGAAGTCTCTCGACTACACAGAGCTTCCTCACTCATAACCAAACACCATCAGCTGCCAACCAGCTGATGTCTCAGACAAAGTGAATCCACGCCGTCATACTGTTCCTCTGCAGGCTCCAATTTACTGAAGGCTGTGACAGTTTCGAGAATTTCAAACAAAACAGATGCTCTCTGCAGATCTTCTGTTTGTTCATCTGAAGTAACAGCTTTTTCAACTCGGCGCGTCGGTTGCTATAAACAGCGGCGGATACAAATCAAACTTCCTGCTACACGCTTGAGTGCAACTTAATTTTAACCAAACGTCACCGTATAGGAGCCTCTGCAAACAGCTGAGTGGCTGCTTTGTTCATGCAATTAGGTTTGTTCAACAGCCAATCAGATGGCTGCTGGTTACTACTGGAGCCAAATGATCCTAATAGACAATAATCAGCTAATAGTGGAAACTCATAGTAGTTAGACTAGTTTAGGCCTCTGGCTCCAGACATTAAAGTCCCGTTTATCTTCCCCACAGACAGTTTTATTTGACTCACAGGTGGAGCATTTCTGTGGCTGCCGTTGTGATGAAACTCGTTAAATCATCACCACAAAAGATAAAATGGAAAATATTTGGTTCTTTGGTAAGAAGTCAGAAATCTGAGTAACTTCAGCTGCGATTGAGACTCGTCCATCGAGCCAAAATTAGGATTTCTCTGAAAGGAAGGACAAATAATTCAAACTGATGGCCTGAACATAAACTACAGGGTCGTTTATTATCTGAAAGTGTGTCTGTGTGCTGTGAGGTATATTGAAGTTTGAAATAGGAAAACAGCTTAACGGGAAAACTCTTATGGAACCAGCGACTCCCTTTTTGCAAAAACATCAAGTTACGTATTCAAAGGAAACTCACACAAGCAGCTGCTGGGAAACGGTTTGTCGTCATCACCGGGTCACATGTCGAGTAAACCATAAAGTCAAAGCTTCGATGCCTGTTTCTCTGTATTAAGTCCTAATTTGTTTATATCTGAGGTGGATGTGGAAGTTATGAACAAATGATTGATTAATGAAAGTTTTTGGACAGAACCATCAGGAACTGAGGAGGGTGATGAATAATAAATATGATTTCTGCCCAGATAAACACAGAGTCTTTAGTAAACACTTGATCCGGTACCAGAGAGCAAAATACGTCAGAATAGCTCCGTAAACAAGTGTAGATGTTCACAGTTACAGTTATTCCACCGTCCATTCATCAGATAACTGTTCATGGTACAGCGTGTTCTTGTTCTAATAAAAAGACTCGATCAGGAAACAGAAAGCAAAACTCCAGAGTCGCGTCTTGATTGAATTGTAGATTTTATAAATTGTTTCCGCACATAATGACTGAATAATTTGGCTCTGGAGAGCTCAACAGTCCGTGTAATTCTTTCTAATTCTCTGTCTGATTTGCACCATCAGAAGGAATCAAATGAAAAATAAAAAACTTTCATTATCTTGTTTTTTTTTTTTTTTTCCACCAGCTGCTTGATAAATGGATAATTGGCTCCATGTAAAAACATTTAATTGGTCAGATTTGGGTTTCAGAATTAGATTTTTAACCTAAAATTTAAAACAAAAAGCTCAATCAGTAATTTTTCATGTCTGTGTTTTGGCTTGTGGTCGGACCGTACCATTAGTGTTACCTGGGAGGCAGCCACAGATTCATATCAGCTACCTGAGTTTAGTAGTTATGAGACGTATGTGAACATTGCTGATAACAAAGCATTACTAGACTCATCATATAGGCCTTTAGACGTCCTGGTTGTGAGCGCCTCTCATATAATTTATGTGCATTTATGTGTGTGCATGTATATGAATGAATGCAAATGCTCAGATGGAGCCTATGGGCTGCTACAGGAAGGAATGAATAAATTAAGAAGTGGTTTGCTCTCTGAATAAATGAAGAAATCAAAGTAAATGTTATTGTAATACTGTTATATACCATCTATAGCGCTTCAGTAATGCCTGGCATGTATTGTAGATGATAAATATTGGTGAGGTCAGATGTGGCCGGGTCCATCGGTGGCCACCCCCCCTGGACACTAATGGTACAGTCCAAGTACAAAACACAGAAATTTAAAGTAGGAAAAATGATTTTTAAAATTTTCTTTTTAACTTTTGTTTGAAGATTAATTCTGAAGCATCGACCCAAACAAGAAGAATTAAAAATTAAGAGGCAGATTGAGCTTTTAGTGAAATTAAGAAAACACAGACCAGCTACAACCTAAAGCGTTTATTTAGTGTTTTTGTTTCTTGTCTTTTAATCTAAATGCTCACACTGGGCTGTCAGACTGTAGTCGTGTCTCACTGAGCTGCTCTAAGCTCTTCACAATATTTTTTCCAGTAAATCCTAAAATGATTATGACTTTTCAACAACATGGCAGCAACACTTCTGGACTTTAATTTCCATTATCCAGTTATATTATTCTGCAGTTGTTTTATTCCTCTGTTTTCTCTCCTCCTTTTTAGATCTGCCCGTATTTCCATTTGTCCTCTGGAATTGGTTTCTATTTTGGGCTTTTACCTCTCTCTCTCCTCACTGTTGGTTTTTTTTTTTTTTTCCACTCTCCTTGTTTTTCACCCTCCTCAATTTCCCTTAATTACAAAATCATTCAAGGTTTATAGTCGTCTTAATTGACTTTCAAGCAAGAAGAAATGTGAAAATAACCCTGTGAGTCAGTAATAGGATACAGCTGATAGAGAGGCTGCTGCTGCTGCTGTTGGGATACAGACGACAGCAGAGATGCTCCTGAAAGCAGCAGCAGCAGAAACGACGGCGAGGAAATCGGTCAGCAAAGGGCTCTGCGGTGTGAGGCCTTGAAATTTTTCAAACGAGTAAATCCGGTGCCAGATTTATGACACTGAACAGACTGGCAAAATGTATTAGCACATGGACCGGCTCCCAGATGTCTGGCCGAATGTCACCATCAATCCAGCCACATGTATTGATTTATCATAATGTCAGTTATGATAACATGACCGTCGAAGCCAGAAATAATGTGCAGCACGGAGCTTTTTTATACGTGTCGACTGACCTTTTAGGTTATTCACAGCTGCAGTGTTCAGTTTATATTCATATAATCGTGTTTTCTTTGTACGTTTGTGTTGTTTTAGTTTTACGTCCACCTGCCTGTTGGTCCGGTTCAGAGCAGGTCTCACCACAGGAGCAAAGACATGAAGATTAGCAGCAACAATACACCAAAACATGACTGTTGTTATACCGTAAACCTAAAATATAAACACACACAGAGGTGGCTTAAAATGTTGAGTTCACTGAAACTCAAATAATCACTTCACAAAATTCACTCTTATTTTACAGACGTTTCCAGTTTCGTTAAATTACAGCTGATATCTAGTAAAATGACAGAAAAAAAATAATGATTTACTGGTCAACCCTAAAAAAAACAAACAACAACAAAAACAAGGCAAATCTGTAAATATTTTTTTTCAAATGATAATTTCTATTATTCACCTTTTACAGTGTTTTACCATAAAAATACAGTTTTTACTGTAAATCAGTAAAACATGTTAGTATTTTTTTAAAAGAAATTTGCCGTTAAGTTTTGTTTAAAGTATATTAAAGGTTGAAAATTGGAAATTTTTATGACTTTTATTTCACAATTTTCTATTTTTCATATTGACTATATTTATTTTTTAAAAAGCCAAAACAGTAAATAATGTCCACAATAAAAAATATGTAATTTTACAAATAATAATTTATGTGTGTGGATGTAAGATTGTTGTTAAAGTTGATGTTTTTTGTTTTTTTTGTGTGTGAAAGAAAAAGGTTTTGATTTTGGCGTTTTTCATACAGAGCAGCTGTGGAACTATTTCCTCCACTGTAGATAAGTTTTCTTTTTTCCCAGTAATGACGTCCTGAATGATTCTCCGTTTATTCTGCTGGATAATTCTACGATGACGTGTTATTGCCATCAGAGCCTTCGACTAGTTTCTGAATGCGGCTGCTCGTCTTTTACGTCGATGATCCGACTGAGATTTTAGGAAATGCTCCAACTATCAGTCACCTAAAAAAAAATACACATAAATTAGACTTTATTTTAACTTTTAAAACCCTAAATACCCCAAATATCTCCTCCCACTCCGACACTTCTGCTCAACAGAAATGACTTTTATACATTAATTCTCATTTATTCCGTCGGAGTGTTCGGCACAAGTAAACAAACGTTGTCATCAAAGCCTGTCCTCAGGAAAGACCTGCGAGTGTGACTGAGGAGAGGAAGCCTGCATGCTCCAGTGCATGTATATGAGCTCTGCCTTGTATTTACTCCATCCAGCATCGCTGCGCTCCTCGGGGGTGCTTGTCTCTCGGCTCTCCAGCAGAGTTAGAGCCGAGTTAATACCGAAGAGCGCCGCGAACACAACTCAAGTCCAGGCAGTAAATCCTCCCTCACAGCATTAGCTCCAGACAGAGCTGTTTAGCAGCAGCTTACAGTCATCGGGCAGGCCAATGATTGAGGGGAGGATAAGGGGTGAAGCACTATTACATGACTGTAAGAGCAGCAGACCGGTAATTAGAGCGCAGACTTAAGGAACAGTGATTGGTGGTGGTGGGGAGATAAAGGGATGTGAGGGCCGAGGGTGAAGAAAAGATGAATGGACGACGCAGAGCAGCTGAGTTCAGAAGGTAGACGGGGAAGAGTGGGAAGGGAGCTGACAGGACCTCAGAGGAAGACCGGTGGAGGCAGAGAGGCAACAAGGCACCAAGGTAGAAGTAGGTCAGGGCTAATTAGGGGGAGAGATAACGTGCAGAAACAATTTAGCGCTGCAGATGGAGAACAGAGACTCCAGTTAAGTGATAGTGAGACTTTAACTTCAGCTGGAGTTCAATCCTGCTCAGGCAGAGGTTTGTTTTGACACCGTTTGGAGAACAATAAGTGAATGTTTGTTGCATGCCGGCCCGTCCACACACTCATAGCCTGTGCTGCAGTTCAACACAGCTGTCCACATACAGATGTTGACCAGTCATCTGCAGACTGTTGACAACCTGCTCTTCTTCTCTCTCCTTGTTTCACTGATCTCTGCTGTTTGTTCTCTCCTGATTCTCCATCTCTTGGATATTCTCTCTGAACACTGTGTCCCCACATATCATCGGCATATTTATACACGGTTTTGCCATTTTTATCCTCTCTGACTTCCTTTTGATATCATCATGATCACCTGCCACCAGCTTTTTTTTTACACTTTCATCTTTCCTACTTTCATCTTACCTGCCCTGTCTGGTGTCTCTCTGTCATCTCTAACTCCGATGTCTTCCCTGTTGTACCCGTCCTTGGTGTCCCGCTGTGTCTGCCCAGTTTCGGGGACGCCTCGCTCTCCTCCGCCTCCACCCTGGAGCACATCCCGTCCTCGGCTGTGGCGCGTCCACGTCCCTTGGTCCGGCAGCAGAGCCTCCAACAGCCCCTCACTCACCAGCCCCCTCCGGGTCCCAACGACCCCCCGGTCACCTCACAGAGCCTGGGCCAGCTCCACACGGGCCCGGGCGGCGGGGGCCACCGCGGGGGCCCACGGGGGGTCCGGGGGAGTCCGGCTGGAGCCTCCCGGTACAGAGGAGCAGGGGCGGGCCGGTCGAGGTCGAACCCGGGCAGCTGGGACCACATGATGGAGCAGATCCGCCACAGAGGGCTGGACGTCAAGTCGTTCTTGTGAGTGTCACGAAGTTTTCTGAAAATCTATGATGATGATGATGATGATGATGATGATGATGATGATGATGATGATGATGATGATGATCTGAGTTTCACGGCTGAGCTCATCTGGTGCACGTCACAGTCTGATATAAGAGTCCAGCAATAAATCCCAGCTTCAGGTGTTTGGGGTCATTTCAGGAGCTGGACCAGAGTCTGCACTGATGCTGAGAGAAGTTCTTACATCCTTACAGGTCAAATCCTCCATGAACATGTTTATCAAGAGCGAAGTAGGCACTGAGTGGACAAATAGCTGTGAGGGTCATACTGGTGATAAAAAGAATAATAATCCTAATAATAAAAATATTAATAACTTCTGATAATGCTCAGATGTTCGTTAAATCTCATAAAGTCTGATAAATAGAAATAGAAAGTCAAGAAACAGATTAAAGATGGTAAAGATACACAAAACACAGACTTTTAGAATAAATAAATCAACACAACAAACCAAATGGATGCAACTATAATTAGAAATGCAGCACAAATCTCATTAGATAAAAAGATTAGATAGAATAAAAGAAAACAGAGTGTAGTTTTAAAAAAAGAAAAGTAATAATACAATAAATAAATAAGAATAGACCAGTAAATGTCATGTTTAAATAGGTTTCTTTTGCTGTAGTTGTTCACTGGAGCTAACTTTCACTGTTTCATGTCAACTTTGGTGGTTTTATGCTTCAGTTTATAATGTGTGTCGTCTTTGTGGGTAAAACCTGAACGCACAAAGTAATGACCAACATTTCTCTCTGAAGTGTGTCAGAACAGAAGCATGAAGCTTCATAAGATTGAAAAATACTCGAGCGTTTAGAGAAAACTGCTCCTAAGTGCAGCACTAATGTAAATGCTCTGATGTGTTCTGGTTTGTGTTCCTGCTGAATGTGTTGCTTTGTGCTGAGTGGTGTCTCTAACAGTCTGTCCATCTCTCTTTTTATTTTAAACTAAAGGTGGACAAAGTGTTAGAAGCAGCTCTTAGTGTAATACGACACAATCAGCACCGCAAAGTCCAGATAGATTCTGTCTTCACACAGGTAGGCTTTATTGGAAGGTGCTGCTGAACTAGCGGCGGTTTAGCGGCGCTGTAGTCGGATACAAACACGTCTCTGAGCGCAGATGATGGAACTCAGTCACATTTTTGCAGAATCTAATGCAATCCTCCACCGCGGGCTGCAACAAACACCGTCTCACTGAAAATCTGAATTAGTTGTTCCAGAGATACTGACTCATGTGAACAATGATCAGAGTTTAGTTTGTCGACGTGCGTGAACGTTTCAGGTGTGACAGGTTGTTTACGACATGATTCACGTGATTAGTGCTCGTGTAGATCACGCCGTCCTCCCTCAGGCCCCTGATCAGCTCTGTGAGTATGCTGCATAGTGATCCTCTGCAGGCCTTTCATTTGTACTGATTGATTTGTCATCACGTGTTGGTGGGTTCATTAGCATTTGTAAATTAAATTAAACCCATTTTTGAATGCAGAGGTGCAGATATAACATCTAAAAAGTGTCTTATATACATTATACTGTGAAGACTTCCAGCCAGACTTGTTTTTAACTGCAGTCATTAATTTGTCTGAAAGCTTTGTAGAATGTGTTTCTCTTCTAGTAGACGTACAGGAACCCCACAGCTGCAGGACAATGTGGAGACTCTTGTCGCTCCTTTATGTGCATCTTTTGTGCCGACGTTCAATCCAAGAGTAAAGAATTACCCCCATCACTGTTGGGCAGTTATTAAACAGCTGAGCAGCATTTGATTAAAATATATTCAGCTAAACTGTGCTTCATAAATTTAAACCTAAAGACTCGATCCATCATTTGCTTCCAGAGTTTTTTCAACATAACAATTAGATAAACTTCAGGAGTGATCCTCAGCTAACCAGGGTTCAGAAGAAACCTCCACCACACAGCCGCCATGGATCTCTGCAGGTTTTACGACACCGACGATTTCCCGACTCGTCCACCGCTGAGCCGAGCGGCTGCTGCTGTCCGAAGGCCGCTGATTGTTTGAGATACCGAGCACGGCGAGCTCTCCTCCTCCTCCTCCTCCTCCTCCTCCTCCGCTTGACTTGAGTGATAGATTACAGATGATGTGCTCCACAAAGCAGCCTCACGTGTGCGCCTCCCTCCCCTCCTGACCGTAAACCCATGCATCCCCACGCCACAGCGTCTCCGCTCCCGTGCTTTCTGCATGTCTTCCCATTAGCAGTGTCTCCAGGCCAGTGACCTCCTGCCGATGTGAATCATCATTCAAATAAAGGCTCGTTCATAGAGTGAGGTGGCGTTCCCTGTTGTCCCCGCCTCCGTCCTCTGAATCTCGCTGGACCAAACAGTTGTTGACCCTGCTGGGGGGAAACATGATGTGAGAGGCGGAGGGAGGCGGGAGCATCATGCATTTGTGATCAGACAGGTATGAACAGCCCAATGCAGCAATTTCACCTTTCACTCGTGTCCACGTGCGGTCGGCGCGGCGACTGAGGCGTGCCGCTTCCATCTCAGATCGATGGAGCCGGTGTAGGTGGTAATGATTTCAGCGTCCGCCGCTTGGAGTGCGCGTGTCTTTTTCGGTCATCTATACAAATCCATTCACCTTATCGATGAGCATCATGTTGGTGCTGTTTACACATTCCCAGTGGGCCGCTGTCTCTCAAGTGTTAATGTGTTCCTCTTGTCGTCGATACCGCCTCAACAAACAGCATCTATCTTTTTACTACAGGCAGAGTAAGCAGGCTGGTGAAATGGAAGATGTGTAGCAGGTCAGAGGAAGAAGACGAGAAAATATCCAAAAAGCATCATATAGGATTTACTTTGTTAACTGTTTGATCCTGCTGATAGTCATCTTGTTGGCATGCATTTAGTGCTGCAATAGTTTTTATCCAGTGATGCACGATATTAGAATTTCTGGCCGATACCGATATTAAGATTTTTGATATCGCTGTTAATCGATATCACCGATGTCGATAATCAATTTTTGTTCACACTGAAAAATGAGTGTAAATAAACACTGTGAGAAAACTATTCAGAAGAAGCCCAGATTAGACCACGTAGTCTACCTTATTACAAAAGTAAAACATATTTAAACATATTTAAGTCGAGGAACATTTAAGTAAAAACATCTGTGAAACAACAGCGACATTAGACGTAGAGATGAAGGCGCTGATGTTAGACGATCGTCGTTTTTTTGGTTTGTTTGTATATCGGACTGATACCGATATATGGGGAAAACCACTAATATCGGCCGATACCGATGTGGTCGCTGATATATCCCTATTTTCAGCTCAACATTAGAGCCTTCAAACCATCCTAAAGTTTTGCTGTCTGTCTCATACAGACGTTTTTTTCTGAGACACGTTGTGATTTCATTGAGACTCACCTTCTCTCATCGTCGCCTGGTCCAGTCAACGTTTAAACCAAAGTGAGACGAATCCACAAAATAAAAATGGATTTTTTTCTCCACCTGAATGTTATAATTATGTCTAAAATTGTCAGAGCATTGATGTGAAGGGAAACAGGGAAAAAAAAGTGTTGTGGATTCAGAACTGCCTTTTAGGAAATTACTGTGGTGAAGAAAATACGTGAAGGTTGTCCTTGGATCAGCTGCATTAGCGGCTGTATGAAACAGACAGAGCACAGCAGAGAGGACGGCATGAGAGGCAGCAGTATGTGCCTACATGTGGGATGTTATTTGTGACTGTGAATTACTGGATTAGTTGTGGGCAAACGCTGATTGGCTCAGGGCGCCGTCTGCGTGGCCTCTTGGATTCACGGTGCAGCATACTTTAGTGAAATGTAATTTGGACGATTTCAGGCGTGTTTGGAGGGACAATAAACCGACATGATGTGCTTCTTTGTTGCAGGTTTTTGTTAAGGCCACCTCAATTTCCATGGATTTCTTTTTGCTGTTTTAGTTTCCTGCACGTCATTTCAGTTGCTTCTGTTTTCTGTGAAACAATCCAAACCTCTCTTTCAGGGTTCTGCTGCGTCTTTATTGTTCACATTTCTGGAAACGATAAAACCGCATCAGTCGTCCTCAACCTGTCTGCTAAGGATGCTCATTTCAGTAAAACACATTTCTGTGACTGTCGTACAGTATCAGTACAGTAGACAGAAAAAAAAAACCCCTCATCAGCGATTGAATGCATCCACGGCCTTGGAAGACCACACGCTGCTCACTGAGGCGTTATGTAACCGCATGTATTGTAATGATGAATCACGCTATATGGAGACGCACCGTATGGATGTTTCTAACTGGTTATATATCAAAGTTTGTCTATTTTAATGAGATCCACTTTGCTATGAAACAAAAACCAGGAACATGCATTAAACATCACGTCAGCGCTACAGAACCAAAGGAGGAACCGAGCCGGTGTGTGACAAATAAATTGGCACCAAAACAAACAGTTTCTGCGTCAGAAGTTGCAGAAACCAAATGCTGGAGCACACAGGACAGTGAGTAGCCCTACGAGCTCACAGGATCCGAAAAGTGAGAACTAGACTTTGTAGTGTTTCAAAGGCTGGATGGCTTTTAATAGCAGCCGTGTAGAGTCTGAAAAAAACACTAAAGCAAAGAGTTTCTTTAACTGATGGCAGGTTTCTGTTCTTCTGACCTCTGAAGGAACAACTCTAGCTTTGCATTATATTAAGGTTTATTAGTATTAGTCGGTAATCGACCCTTAACAATCCTGAACCTGCTATCCGACAGGTTTGTAGGAAAACCCAACAGAACCCATAAAAACAGCCTTAACATAGCGACAGCCTTGGATTGTGACTCCGACATGACATTTAATGTCACCAATCAGGATGACGGCGTATTATCTGACTGAACAATCCCACAGATTGGCTACGTTCACACTGCAGGACTTGATGCTCAATGAGGATTTCTTTGTGACTTCCTTCACGTTTCCACTTCAATGCGACTTGTATGTGATCTGCTGTGTGAACTTCATACGAGCCAAAAGTGTCCCGCATGCGCAGAAGAGGACACGACGACGTCACACGCAGCGAGCGTGCTCAGTGTTTATGGAAGTAAACATGGATGGTAACGGTGGAGCGTATCTGCCACTCCCCCGCCGCCACCGATGGAGGAAACAGAAGTGTGAGCGCTAACTAAACTAGCATCAGCAGCCAAGTACTGCCTGTGTGTTCTGGACACTTCCACCCCGTCAGAGGGCTGCCCCGGGGTGGAAGTGGGCAGAATGTGCACAATCCGGTCAGTTAGGCTGAAATCCAGCGATGCGTCGTGTTCTAACAACACACTAGTTATTATAACAACTATGAACAATAATGAACAACTAATGATCCTTCCAGCATCAAGCCCTCCTCGTATCTGGACCTCCGTCTGGACAATCCGACAGCCTTGATATCCGACATAGAAGAAGGTTTTACATTTAGTGTCGGATCGTCGAGTCATGACTGTATTTCTTGCTTGTAGCCTTTAACGTGCTCACATGAGGAAGGTTAAACATACACGTTAAAGGGAATCTTCATGTTGACAGAAATGTGTCATGCAGTATTAATTCTAAACCATACGTTGTCTTTGTAGGTTAAACCAACAAAATCCAGATTTGTCCATGTTTCAGGAATTATCGTGCTCAGTGATATTTACACCAAAGTCAATCCTTGATGTGCAAAACTGAAAAAAAACGAATGCATGCAGTAAATTGTCACTCACTTGTTAGATGATAAAATCCTGTATTGTGGACTGACTCCTCAGCAGACAGGTTCAGGTGTGAGTCTTTGAGTCTTTGAGTCTTTGCACAGTAAAGTATGAACTGAGCATTTTTTGTTATGATGAAATATTCCAGCGTCCTCACGACAGTCTACCTCCTCTCTCCCACTCTGTCTTTGTTCATGACCTGGATGTGTGCGGGGTGTGTTGCTGTCGCTGCCTGTTGGTGTGTGTGTGTGTGTGTGTGTGTGTGTCCCTGTGCTTATTTGTCTACACACTGGTGTGGTCTTGTGATGTCTTGTTTGTCTGTGTGTCCAGTGAGGGGAAGATGGTTGTTCTGTCTCTAGCTATCGGGCTGGCTGAACAGGACGACTTTGCCAACCTGCCAGATCTACAGGAAGCGCCAGCGAGCAAAGAGAATGAAACCACACCAGAGAAAAGGTAACGAGAGAGAGAGAGAGAGAGAGAATGTGAGGAATGTGGTTTGATTAGCACCAAAATAAATGAGCGTCCGCCGTCGCTGTTGGTCGTGTCGTGGAGAGGTTCCCAATTATGTGTCATTTTAAAGAGCTGCAGGACTGTTTGTCTGTGGGTGACCCGGGTAGGACCACCTGGAAGACCAGCAGTCATTTTACCCTTAAAAACTGAACAATCCTGACATCAAATGCTATTTTTAATACTCGAAAATATGAAAATATAATCCATTTGATCTTACACCGATCAGCCACAACATTAAAACCAGCTGCCTAACATGTGTCCTCGTGATGCCGTCTGCATCGGATGTGGATCCTGTGGGTCCTGAGGGTTGAGGGTCTGCAGAGATCCAACCTGTACCCTGGATCAGATTGTGGCCTCCATACGTCTCAGATTTTGAGGAGTCTGGAGTCCGGATCAATGCTTTTGGCTCATAATCGTGTTCCTCAGGCTGTTCCTGACCAGTTTCGAGGAGTTCTGCTGACTTGGGGCTGTTTGCTCGCTCTGCAATGTGTAGATGCCAAAGTAGCGTCCACATGAATGCCAGGATTCAGGGTTTCCCAGCAGAACGGTTCAGCTGTGACACATGATGAGCGTTTCCCCTGTCAGTGGTTTTAAAGTTGTGGTCTGTTGACGTGTACGATTTGAAGCGATGTGGCTGAATCTGGCCGTGAATCTGAAGCGCTGCTCGCCCGTGCTAACACTGAACGAACTGCCACGGTTCACAAATTGGAAACCTCCTTCACATCAGCGCTGCTCTTGATGCTCCAACGGATGTAAAGAGTCCAGATTTCTCCAGGGTCCCTCAGCCCTGCAGAGTGCCCTCCTTTGGTTTCCTTGGATCGTATTTATTTACCTGTCAGGTGTTTCGATGTATCTGTGGTGGGTAAATGCTTTGTTTTAATGCCAAGAACGGCCACATTTACATCTGTTAAGTTAACATCAGCCTTCGATCCCCCACCGAGCGTAACCTGCTGCTGATGTAATTATACAGCACTGTGCAAAGTTTAGGCAGAAAAGGTTTTGATTCGTATCCATGATGCGGTCCAATCGGTCCCAGATTCACTCTGCAGCGTGACGATGAGACAAAACGTACAGCCCGATCCGTAAAGAGCCGTCTGCAACGTCAAGAGTAACAAGGAGCCCTGCAACAGATGCCGTGGACCCCCACAGAGCCGATCTTCTCATCATGGAGTCAGTGTGGGATTAAATGAAGACGCTGACGAAGCCTCAATCCACAGAACAACTGTGACAAGTTCCCCGAGAAGCAATCTGCCTGTTGAACGGCTCGAGAAGCACGTTATGAAATTCAGTTTGATTTAGTGTTTTCTATTAAGTTAATTAGTCAAAACTATTCATGACATTATCTTTAAAGGACCCTCATTTGACTTTTTGTGCCTAAAACTTTTGGACAGTGCTGTATGCGTTCAGCTCGAACTCCTCAGACCATTAAATCCACTGTTTTCATGACCTTGCTTGATGTTAATTGGGTTTCTCTTCCTCTAATTATCAGCTTGTTCTGTGACTGAGCTAAAGCACAGGCTGCTTTCTGGTTTGTTCTGCTTCTCTTCTCCTGTTATGCTCACTGTTTGTCATTTTTTTTAAGTTGCTTATCACCATATTTTCTTTCCTATTTCTCATTTCGGCTCCCGTTCTCCCATTTCTTCTCATGTCCTCTGTGTTCTCGGTGCAGACCTTTGAAAGTCTGCTTGTCTGCGGCTCTTCGCTGCCGGTTTGATCTTTGAGTCGTAGGCACAGGAGAAGGGCACCCTCATTATTTAGAAGTAAGATTCCTCACATGAAACACTCATCTAAAAATATGCTAACCTCTCATCCGCCAGTGATCTCGCAGCAGCCGTCAGAGACTAACACAGCCTCTCAGCTGGCGAACAAAGGCCTGAACAGACTGCTTTCTTATCGCATCAGTGTTTGAGGGATAAAGTGCTTAGCCTGCTGTTTTGACACCACTGGGCTGAGGATAAACCGGGGTGGAGGTCAACATAACCCCACGTTCATTTTCTCTTCTGGGTTTTTTTCTTTCCTCAAAACTCCAGCTATTAAATTCAATTACATTTCTTAAACGCATTAACTTTTCCCAAACCCTCCGAGTGTGCCGCTCTAACTGGGTCATCTGTGAGTTTGTGTTTGATGAAAAATAGAAGAATAGGACGTGATAAATGTGTGTTTTTCTGATGTTATTGCCGCAATTATGAGCCTTTTTTTATGCTTTTAAAATTGAATTTGAAACGTCTGAGGGTCAGGCGTGGGATGAGGACCAGCTCACCTCTCGTCCCCGAGTCGTGTTCTCTCCCTCCGACCGTCTGGAGGTCCGTCTAGCACCTGACTCCAGTCACAGCCGGCCAGCCAGCCTCCACCCGGAGGGACGGCGTGGGCCAAGTTGTCTAGTGTCCTTCCACAACTAATAACAGCTCTCCATCATCATCTCTGTCCGTCTCCCTCATCTCTCTGTCTCTGTAGTTACCTCGTCTGCTGCCTCGCTCCCGGCTGTTTTTCCTGGAGCCCGGCAGACTGAGAACGATGGAACGGGATGATCCCGCCAAGATTATATGTGACAAGACAATACGCTGTCAGACGGTGAAAGAGAGACAGAAAAAGCGGGAAACCTTTGCTCTCGGCTTTATTTCCACAGAAATATGATACAAGATAAAAATACACAAACCCGTGGAGGTTTGAGGTTCTGTTGGTTTATTAATGAAATCAAATACAGCTCGGAGCGCAAGTATCTACAAACACCAAATCTGATAACGGAGAAATAACGGGATACAAAACAAAAGCTGTGTGCGCTGTGTGTTAGGTCAGATATATATTTGTTCAGACAATCCCTCTAAATATAGACTGTAAACAGCAGAAAAAGCTGCAAATGTTAGCGTTTGACTTCTTTACACAGACACCAGACACAGAGCCAGAACAGGGTTTATGTGGAGCCATGGTTTTGTCCTGGGCTGTACGGTGGCTCAGTGGTTAGCACCGCCGCCTCACAGCCAGAAGGTCGCTGGTTCGGTGAGGACACCCTGTGTGGAGTCTCCATGTTCTCCCCGTACAGCGTGGGTTCTCTCCGGGTTCTCCGGCTTCCTCCCACAGTCCAGAAACATGCTGAGGTTAATTGGTGATTGTAAATTGTCCGTAGGTGTGAATGTGAGTGTGCTTGGTTGTCTGTCTCTAAGTGTAGCCCTGTGATAGACTGGTTACCTGTCCAGGTGAACCTGCCTTCACCCTCAGTCAGCTGGGGTTTTCGGTTCCTTCCCAGTGTTTTGGATTGTTGGGTGTTTCTGTCTCTGCCTTTGTGAAGCGCTATGAGATGACTTGTTGTTGTAAATATGCGCTATACAAATAAAATTGAATTGAATTGAATTGAATTGGGATAGACTCCGCCCCCCATGACCCTAGTGAGGATTAAGGTGTAGAGATAGTGGATGGATGTTTTTGTACGTCCAACGCTCCTTTCTCTTTTTAGCTCTGCTTGGGTCTCCACCAATCAGAAAAGTTGTCCTGTTTGCTCACTAACTTGTTGCTAACATCGTGCCTCTGCCAGTTGTTGCCGGGCTAATAACGTGCTAACCAGATGCCTCCTGCTGCGACTGCTGGAAATGAAAGCAGTGGGACTGGACCAAATCGCTCCATGTGTGGGCCATAAAAACAAAGCAGCGCTCCAAGAAGTTAGAAAAGACTCCACAGAGCTAAGAGCTGATGATAATTCCCCGTCAGTTCATTACTAGAGCGATCTCTGTCACAGTGCGCGGAGCCATTTGATCAGTTGCTAATATGAAAATGTGGCTGCAGCTTTAATGTGTTTCTGGGATTCAGTCAGTGACTAATCTACATCACAGCTGCAAAGTCAATTATTATCGCAAATCATATCTCAGAAAACAGCCATTTTCCCCCTTGTTCAAAGGAAAGTACGTTTATATCGGTGAAGAGCTCTTCTAGAGCCACATGTTGCTGCCGAACTTTGGATTGGATGTCGTTGTCACACATTTTCTCATTCTCACCACGTGTCCCTTCATCTTGCTCTATCATAAAAGTTGATGTAAAACTTGTTATCATCAGATGATAAACTGGAGCTTCTGTTAACTAGAAGCATCCACACGGTGTCCATGTTTTTATTTTTAAAGCCTCCACTGATGTTTGAGACATCTGAGGTGTGAAAGCTGAACCCGATCAGTGATACCAAATATATATAATAAGATAGTTAAATGATTGCCTTTTACGACAGTGTTAGCTTGTTCTTCTGTGCATTTGTCACATGAAAGTTTATTCTTATAAGAAAAAGGTGCACAAAATATCATCATATAACAAATAAAGTGAGATGTTGTTCCAATGAGAAGAATCTCCAGTGGAACAGACTACAGTGCTGAGTGTCATAGAAATGAGGGAATAGGCTACAGAAACATTAGTGATGCACGATATTAATGTTTCTGGCCGATATCGATATTAAGATTTCTGATATCGCCGATAACAGATATCACAGATGTCGATATTCAGTTTTTGTTCACACCGAAAAATGAGTTTAAGTAAATACTGTGAGAAAACTGTTCAGAAGAAGCCCAGATTAGACACAGAGTCTGATTTATTACGTAACAAAAAATATTTAATGTTCAAGTCCAGGATCATTTAGGTAAAAACATCTGTGAAACAGCAGCAATATGAATGAATGAATGAATGAATGAATGAATGAATGAATGAATGAATGAATGAATGAATGAATGAATGAATGAATGCCCTTTATTGTCATTCTACAATGTACAACCAGACTGGAAAGCTTCTCCTATTTTCAGCGCAAGTAAAAACAAAATAAAGTGCAAATTGCTCAGTAAAATACAAAAGATAAAAAAAAGAATAAATATATAAAAAGAAATAAAAGATTTGAAAAGTGTTGCAGGAGATAATGGATGATTACAGACTGCACATAGTGGAGGAATCTTCCTGAGGTGGATATTTTACATGTG